ATTGGAGTGAGGAAGTGTTCCTCTTATATTTGATAGTTGTAGTAATAATAAAAGATTAATGACTCCTCGATGAAATCACCTGAATGCTGATTTTCAATTATTGTCACCTGTCTGGGTTTTGTAGGATAAAGAATCAAATAGAAGTACTGAGAATAAAATATCAGCTGAAAATGAGTCTATTTCAGCGCTACCTGCTGATGTGTTAGATTTCTGAACATTTTCACAGTCAGTTGTGGTAATTTCAAACCTCATTGTAGCTGCAGGGTCTTTGGTATCTTTGGAACAGGCTAATATGATTGCAGCCTGAAAGGGTGTCTCCAGTTAGTTACTCATTGTGCCCGAGGCCTCATGAACCATACTAAATCATGTTCAGGAGCTCTGCATCCAAACCATTACTCTAAATGAGGTCAATGCAATCCTTTCTGACCTCTCCATCAGTATTGATGCTTGTGTCATTGGCTTAATGTCAGGTGTGCTGAAAGAGTTATTCAGAAAACATCTATTTTCTATACACTCATTTTCCTTGTGTTTGTTTCCTTGTGAGATAGCTTATATAGCCATATTTCATGTCTGCTCAACTTGTCCAGTATTGCTTCTCTGCTCTAATGGTTGACACTGAGTCAGCTGCACTTTAGATCACACATACTAGTTTGCATGATAATGATCATTTATCCAAACATCTGTTAGAGGCATGACTGAAACCACCACTTGGTGCTTTTTTTGTGGCTTAGAGAATTGGTTAGGTCACAGGCTGATCATGATACCGCTGTAATTATGCAATGAAATAGTCTGTCGTACTTATTCTCACTGTTGTATTCCAATTAAAGTATTTTCATTGAGAGACATTGAACACAGCGTTGCTTGCTCAGAAAAAGGAAGTGAACAATATATTGCAGGTCATTACCAGCTGTCGGTTAGCTCTGTGGTGTGATGATGTGAAACCATTGAAAAAATGACACGAGGTGACAGATGAGTCAACAACTCGCCACGATGGCGCCAAAAAAGACTGACACATTCCTTCTTTGGAAATTACAACTGACACCTCAGCTGCATTACCTGTGTTTTTTTTTCTTAATGGTATTGTCCTGAGGTTACAAACATAAAATTTGAATGAAAAGACTGAATTCACTTGTTGACAGCATTATGATCATAAGGAAGGCGATGGTATCAGACAGAGAGGTTACAAGTATTGATTAAACCCGACAGAATATATTGTCATCTCGCTCGAGCATGTGGTTGCTGATGTCAAATGATAATGAACTGCAGCACTGCAGTGCAGTATATAGTGGAAGTGTAATCAACAGTTATTGTAATTCCATTTAATCTGTGAACGAAAATGTTACTGGTGGCTACACAAATTTCCAAAAATGGCATAAAAACCTGAAGATTGTGTGACACAACAACACACATCTATGAGAGCTTTAAAATTAGACAAAAATGATGAAACACAAAGAAATGACAATGAAAACAGGCTATTTCTCAGAAAAAATGGGCCCGTGAAAGAGAACAGTGTGCTATTCAAAAATGCTGCTTAAGGATACAAAAACCTTAGCTCAGCAAACTGACCCCATCAAATTACAGAGATCTCAACCAGGTGGGGTAGCTGTAGCCCTGTGGTTGCTCCAGTCTACATGCCCATGTATCTTGCGTTATATAAGAACAAGTTCATTTACCATTGCCATTTATATTAGCAGAGCAAATCATAATAATGGTAAACAGGGAAATTAAAGGGACAATAGCTAAACTCAAAGAAAGAAACTCTATTCCCCTCCGTATTGTCACAGCAGATGGTTCTGTCCATTTGTTTGGCATCTTTAGTGAGATTTTGCAGACATAAGTCACTTTGTTCACACAGGTTGAGAGACCTGTACACAATCATTTAGTAACTATCAGTCATGAGGGGAAAAATGATCATTCCCCAACTGGCTGTGTGTAATTGGTGGAGGTTAATGGCAGTCTTTGGCAAAAGGATCGCTAAAGTCATGCATGACTGCGACTTGAACCACCAGTTGCTAGGAAAAAATATATATTCCAATTGGTTGGGAAAAACTTCCTTGTGTGTTTGGTCCCAAGTATATTGCTGTGGACATAGTTTGAATGGCAGTAACAGTATAATATAGTGTAGTGTGATAAAGGGTTTTGGAACAAATCGACCATATTAGCAAAACCAAACAAGCAAACTGTTTATTCACAGGGATGACTGAATGGGGCACATTGTAAACCTGAATAGTGTGTCCTTGAGGAACAAACAAAAAAAATGAAAACGTGATGATACTAGATGGATGATAATATGGGAGCAGCTTGTTTTTTCGTGATGTTGGTGGCTCAGTGTCGACTGTAGAATGATGTGCTGTTTGTGTAGAAAGAGACACTTTTTGCTTAGCATCATGCAGTCACTAAGATTGTCACTAGGATTTTGCACTAATTTGTAGAACAACAACATCAGCCATTGAATTCTTCTAACATTTAGTTTAGAGTTGCAGTCCTACCACTACTACATTTATTTAAATTAATTAATATATATATATTTTTAGTATGGGTTTTGTAGTCAGTCAACATCAGTGCAGAGTTGAACTCCAGGGCAGAGCGGTGTCATTGTTTGGCCTCTTGAGACAATGTCATTGTCACTTGTAGTTCCTCATTGTCTGGATGATTTTGCTTGTGTGTGTTTTTACCATCAGACGTTTTTGAATTTCAGCATCTGCTACAGCCATGACCCCAATTTCTAGTTTTCCTTTACAGCCTTCGTTATTTGGACGATAATTTAGGTATTGTGTGTATAGAACAAACAACACTGCTGTGACTGTTATTATTTATCTCTGTAACTGAAATCATGAGTAAGGGTTTTGTTCAGGTAGTACTGTAGTGATACACTGAAGGTAATGTTTTGAGTCACTACAAGGATAATGATTTGTGCTAATGCGGTGTAACTGAATATGAGTGTGAAACAATGCAAATGGCTCTGAAGGATCTTATCTGACGTTCTCGAGGGGACTGGCATGGCTTCTTTTAGCTGCAAAATCCAGGCCTCTCTCAGCCAGTCGATGCCGTTACTAACACATTACCTCAGGCTGAGAAAGTTGAAGCTGGGACACTGGTTTTTGTCCTGCTGCAATAGTTTATAAGTGCAAAGTAGAGTTCCATGTTATATGAACAAGTGATCAATCTTTAGAAGCGACCATTTGTTCTTATTAGCAAACTCAATGTTTTTATTCTTGGACTGTACCAGAGATTCACATCTGTAAATAATGCTTATTTGTCTTAAACTGGGTCTTGGTGCTGCACTCCCGTTCAATCACTGTGTGAAATAAGCAGTATTAACTCCTCTCCATTTAAGCCAGCTTTCTTCTAATTGGGGTGCCCATTACAAACAGAAGGTTTGAACAGCAGGTGGGTGGAGCTGTGTATTTGAGATGACTGCATTAAGGAAAAGAGAAGAGTAGAAACCATCTGTCAGAAACCAAACGTTTAGAGGTATTTGACTACCAGGGAGTGCTCACAGGATACTTTTCATAGTTAAAATCACGTACAGCATTGTGCTACTGTAAAATCTTGAGTCACCTCTCATTTCTTTATGATTTGGTAGGAAAATGGGACATGGGTAGTAGTTTATTAAAATGTGCAAACATACATGGAATGACTGTATAAAAGGCAGAAACAGAGTTTGAACAATGCTAAGAAGCTTGAAAGTCTATATTTAGTATGATCACCTTTATTCTTCAACATAGTCTGAACTCTCTCAGCCAAGCTTTCTTGTAAATTCTTAGTCAGTTTATCGTCATTTTTGGCAAGATCTGCAACACCACTTGCTGAAATGGAGGCTCAAACTCTGACAGAGGCTGGATCCATCGTTGTTGTTGTTTTTTGTTTTTTACAATTGGCTGTAGACATTCACTGCTGTACTTCTCCTGCATACCAAAATTTTCAAATTTGGGTTCATTACATCATAAGACCTGTATTTTAAAAATACATATTTTAAAACGCAGATCTTTTTTATAATGTAGTAAATACGTACACAGTAAACACAAAGTACAAAAAGTGTGGGTGCATATGCAAACACAATAAGTACATTTGATAATTAGACACAAAAAAAGAGCAGGTGCCATTATTTTACAAATACATGTATTTGTATTTCAAGAAATTTATGTTTTCATCTGATTTTTTGCCTTTGTCAACTTTGGTTTGTCTATTGCAAGTCGTTTGAGAAAGTGCACTCATTTCTTTGACTTTTTTTTTTTTTGGGATGGTCATATTTGAACTAAAAGTTATGTACTGTAACCAGTCTTTCCCCTAAATTAACCACTACCTTCTCCACCCTGTTTGTGGAGGGGAAGCATACCTAGACACACAGGCTAGGCAGGCTTTTTGGTGACACTAATTTAATGCATCATTTTCAAGCATGTCACCCCTAAATATGATGTTCTCAGCATAACCCTAACACCAAGTCTTAACCCTTAAAAAGGCATATTTTGCATTACTTTACAGGAATGTAGTCACACGCGTTCTATGTTTGTCTTTGGTTTCCTGTGACAAATGAGTTCAGTCATTCATTCATTTTTAGATGAGCGGTTCTCGAGAAAGCTGCAGACTGCAGTCTGCCCATCCTGCACGTCTACGTTTTGAACAGATGCAGTCACACATCGAACACACACACACACCTACACCTATCATATCTGATATCATATCTCACAGTACAATAATATTGAATGGGTTGCATTGTTGTATTTTGTCATGTTTCTCAGGTCTTTGTCTGAATTTCTACGAACATTATTGCTAAGGATTGTCTTATTGCATTGGAGTCACACTGGGTTAAATATGTACACTTGGGTTTTAAGGGGTATTTATTATTTTCTTCTTTTTTTGGGTTGTATGGAAGCCCCAAACGCAATTTCATTGTTCTTGACAATGACAATAAATAAATACTACTACTAACACATCTCACAGCACACACAAACACAACCACACACACACACACACAACAACCCACCACCACACACACACACACATTCAGCAAGTTTATCGTTATAGCTGTCCTATATTTAGAACAGTAACTCTGTGTTTTCTTGTATGTTTAATGGGCATCTGTAAATTGTAGCTACAAAAAATAAGATAAGTTACGCTCACTAAATAAGCTCTGCATTATTATTGTCGCAGCCACAGTCTCCACTGTAATTCATCCCAAAGATTATCTGTTCTTTTTGGCCAGCCAAATTCTTCCACATCAATCTCACTCATCCGTGTCTTTATGGACCTGGTGTGCAGTCATGTTGGAATAATGACAAATTGTTCAAATAAAGAGGGGAGCGTGAAATTGTCCAAATTGTTTTGATATGCTTAAGCATTCAGGTGCTTGACTTTATAAACCCGTGGCCATGGAAGCGATTTGAGCACCTGATTTAGATTGATGAGTGAATAGTTTGGGCAGTATAGTGCAGTTTCACTGTTCTTCAATCGTGGCATTTGTTTAGTCAGATTGAAGAAGTTCAGAACAACAACCCGGGTGTGGTTTTTCTCACATTTAGAAGCATGTTTAATTTAGTTCACACTCTTCTGATGAATCGGTCGTGAACTGTCAGTAGTATTAACGCTTCTCAATTCTTGGAAGTGAACCTACATATTTTATTCATAGCAGGTTGTCTGTGTTGTACAGGATCAAAAGAGAAGTCTACAATAAGCAGAGCTTCATGAGTTCTCACTGCAGCGTTGGAGGCATTGGTGTGTGCAGTCAGACAGCAGTGGCAGCAGCAGTTTTCTCCCTGTGGACCTTACCCAACATACGCAGCAATAGAACTTGATGTGCTGTCTGTAGCTCGAGTTCAGTGTCTCGTTCTCTCACCGGAGCTCACTGTAGGTACTGAGGCTCGCTGCAGCTTTGTGTCCGTAATGCCCCTCTGTGTCTAACTATGAAAAAATGCAAACAGTACAATACATTTCAAAGAAACCCCGTGAGACTTGGATATAGATGCAGGAGCTGAATACAAAACAAGAAGATGACTCTCTGTACATTATAGCAGTGAGTGCAGAAAGTTTTCTGTTCTTCGCCAGATTTCTATTCTCAGAAAAGGCTTCTCAAGTCATTCTTTGATACGCCGACAGCAGCAACCACAGTCCATTCAGGCTACAGCAGAGCAGCTGCTACACCTAAGAGTAAGTCAGTCTTTCCTAGTTTAAAAAAAAATGTGGTTATGGGGTTTTTTTTTAAGGTGGAAAACATTTACATTTCTTCCAAACAGCAGCAGTGTACACTTTTTCTTGTATATTGCTGCATTTTAGTTTTGTTTTTTGTGCTCTTGTCTTGTGACTTTAAGTTTAAAAAAAAAAAAAAAATTGAACTAAAGGCCAGTTTGGATAATGTTAAGTATCTTACTTATTGGTTGTTTTCTAACCTCCCTTCCCCAATCTCACTCTAGGGCCTAAAATACACAGACAGACAGCTATTACATCTTCTTTCTCCTTTCACAACCTTTCCATTTATCTCTTAGCTCAGGATACAGTAAGGGCAACTGCGTAAGATACATGCAGGGTGATTTCAATTCAAACCTCAGTGTCGTAAACTCTCTGCCTTACTTAATATAGATTTACAGAAGGCTAACCACTGCCACCTCCTCCTGCTCCTCAGCCTTCCACACCCTTTGTGGTTCTGGCTCAGCAGAAATTTGCTTGTGAGCTTGAGGAGCTTCCACTCTTTGATTTACAAACCGCTTGAAGAGTTATCACCTCAGTGCAGCTAAGTGCTCCTGCAGTTAGCTCCAGTCAGACGAGATGTGGTTTCTTTAAAGGCAGAGCCTATGATTCAGTTTCAAAAGGAAAGTCTTAACCTAAAATATCACTTTAAAATATTCTGTCAGGGCCTTTAATGGACACTTTGTTTCCTGAAGCATGGAAAGTTTCATTTAATCAATTTGTAAACACAGACGGTAAAGCTGAGTATACACTGTGCTGATGAAAGATGACTAGCGTGAAAGATACTGTTTGTCGTGGCTTCAAAACTCACACAGTCTCCTGTATGAGGTTGATCTTTCTACAAAAAGAATTTTAAACAATGGCAGAAATTTGGCATGATCAACTCACAATGTGACTGCCACTATGACCTACAGCTGCTAACCAGCCAATAGGAAAGCAGCAGCAAGCATGCAATAGTGTGATCAACGTCACAAAGACACAAACAATAACAAACTCAAATGGAATGTATTGCAGTAAAATATGCAAAACCAAGTGTTTGGAATTCCAACAAAGAAGGAAATCTAGTTTAGGTTTGGTATCGGAAGCTCGTCTGCACGATATGTCATTTAACACTTATCCAAAGTTAACTTTCTAAAGAAGACAAATAGTTGAGGAACTGTTCCCACGATGGAGCCCACAGTTCAGCTGGGATTATAAACCATACCATATACATGCAACAAACTCAATGTCCTAACAGTTTATTAGCTTATTATGCTCCACAGTTTGTCTTGTAATGAATTTATAGGATCCTAATAAGTGTACTTATAGGATTTTGCACGTTGATTTGACTGCAAAAACATAATTAATGGCAACATGGACAATATGGTGATTTTTGCACCCTTTTCATTAAGGCTCTCATTTTGTTCAGTATTGAGATCACGTTTATTTATCATGACTATTTATTGATTTTAATGACATCTCATGTAAACAGAACACTGCTCTCACGTCTTCACATCTCAATTTTGTATAAAAAAAATTGGTCGTCCTTATTCACATAGCTTCTTAGGTAGGTAGATGGATAGATATTTTGGCGAAGGTATGTGTTTGTTGGAAAACACATCTTTGGCCAAATGGGTGCGATTGGTTGGCAGTTTCGGCGCATCTTTGCGAGCTGGATGGATACACGGTCAGTTGAGCCTGTTCACCTGCAGGTAGCGTTTTCAGTGGGAGAAACATTTTGTCACTCGTCCTTGTGATGACTTCAGTGACCAGAATAAACTTTCTGGGATTTCTTTACCTGGATGATTGTGCATGTATTTTCAAAACCTACACAGGCTTATTTTGATGGATGTCTGAGGTGATGGTAGTTAATTAATGGTAGCAACCACTTCATTGTTTTTCTTGGGCTTCATGCATTAATTACAGTGCAGTTTGTGGTATGTTTTCAGGTGGTTCTATCTAATCTGAAGTATTTCCAAACAAGCTTGTCAAGCCCTGTTGTTCTGTTTGTATATCAGTCTTTTAATTTGTTCTTACTTATCTAGACTAGTCCAGGAACAGCTGTGATTGTCACATTCTGATTTAGAAAACGCTAGAGTTTCTATTGCTTTGCGTTTCATGTAGAAGTAGGTGCATTTTAAATTTCACTCCATCATGCTCATTTAATTGTGGGAAGCCAAAATCATGAATGAGATTAAAATTCAATTAGTTGTAGAACCCTAGAAACATTTCTCTCAGATGTAATCACTAAAGTGGCTTCCACTATTTATTTAATTTTTGTTTCACCTCATGTTTTTGGTAGGCTACGTTAAAATAAAAAACCCATTAGAGCGACATAAGAGAATTACTGATTTTGAAATAGTTTAACTCATTGAATCTGTCACATTGCGCAGAGCTGGAAGAGCACGTATTGTGTCAAATACAGTACGAAATAGATGTTAATCCAATAATCTCTTAAATGTGGAAACTGGATTCCTTCCTAATGGGTGTTGTCAAGGCTTAGAGTGTAAATCTGCACTGAGCAACAGGCAGAAGTGTGAGCACAGCCTGTGGTGTATCTGTCTTTCCTTCTACATGTTCTTTAGGTGAATTTTATGCAATAATATTAGCTACCAAAAAAGGTCATGTAATGTTGTCTGGGATTTCATAGACTCTTCTGTGGGTTAATTTAACACAAATATATGTAAATATATGTAGTTACCTATCTCTTAGTTTTGAATTATAATGGGTTTTTTTAACTTCTTGGCTAGTTGTAATCATTGTCTGAATCATGGTCATCTTTTCCTATATGTGAAACGGACATTAAGACTTAGAGCAAAATATAACCCGATGTCTCATCTCTCTCTTTAAATCCCCAGTTTTCACTGAGTTTTGACAGTTTGACTGGTCCCATCTGCAGATTTATGCTGGCCGAGATGCGGGCTCAGCAAAGCGTAATGAAAGCTCGGCAGTTTTTTGAATTTTTCATCAAAAATTGCAACATTATAATTTCTTAATCACAGACGGTTGATGCTTTGTCATACTTCACTGCTGAAGGGGAACTGAGATACCGGAACTACTGACTGATGAGTGCAAGTCATCACTGTTAGTCAGACTGAGTCGTAGAGCAGTGATCACACTTCAAACAGAAACAGTGACCATGTAAGGTCATAGAAATAACGAAGATGCAGCTTGATGAATATCCCTGTGTCCCTTCCTAAATACAAACACTGAATTTATATAACTTCAATTAAAAAGAGTATTAAAAAGACCGGAGAAGTTTTCACAAAAAAATTGGAATAAGTGCATTTGAAGTTTACCATGAGACATTCATGTCTGTGTCTGGTTTATACAAGCAGATACAGCAGGAAAAAGGAAGCTGTCTGTTCTCACACTATATATGCACCCAGAAAGCTACTATAAGGAACCTTCCCAGAAAATGTGGTTTTTTTTTTAATGTTTTTTTCTTTTCTTTTTTTTACTGCTCCTGGGTTTTCCCTTTCATTTAGGTTGTTATTTCCTGTGGCGAATAGCTCAGTAGTGATTATTCCATTAAGATCTGGGACGGTTCCAATGCTGTTGGTTTGAAGAGAGGAGATGAGACGTCTGTAATCACAGATCAAGTAAACGTAGTTGAGGCGCAGAGCATAGCTTTGTTGTTGGAAGTTTCCTGTCATTTTGTATCTTGATTGTTGTTTGTGAGGTTACTTTTTAATTTACACAGTTCCCTTAATCGCCTCATCCAAGATGCTGAGTTTCTTTTTTCACCAATTTTCACCAATTGTGTGAAGATGTTCCAGTTTGACTTCTGCTGCAATTGTTATTATTTTTTTTTATGCTTTATTTTTTATGATAAATTGATTGGCATTTGCGTCAGCAGGGCTTTCATCAGGACTATACAGATCATCAGCAAATAAACAAACACGACGCTTATCTGCTGTCATAAAACTCCAACCAGTAGACTGTTTAGAAAAAAAAAATATATATGTGCTACAGTCTTTTGCATCTTATCTTAGATGTTTTGGCTCAGTGCCATGTTGCTGCTGCAGCAGAGTTAATGATAGAGGAGGAAACCCGGAGCGTGGACAGACAGACGAGAAGATAGTGTCCTCTGGAATGTTTGTAGAAGAGGAGGGGTGCCACGCAGGAAGTGGCATAGGACTGGGTTTAGCCAGCAAGAACTGCTGTGTGGGTGTTGGGACACACACACACACACACACACACACACACACACACACACACACACACACAGACCAAGGTCAGGGCGTTCGGTGCCAGCTGTCGTGCAGCTGATTCATGAGGGCACTTTCTTGTCTTTCCCTCAGGAGTCCAGTCGCTATGATTTTGAGATTACTGCATCTGAATGATACAAGGAAATGTGACGTTAACGCTCCGCATTTATAAAAAGACATAACCAGCCTTTCTTGAATGCCAGTTTATAGACTAATGTGATTATTGTGTACCGTTACATACAGGTTTTACCTGCCATTACGTTACCTGAAGGACCTTCTGCTAACCCGAAAAAGAAAAAAGAAAAGTGTAAATGTTTTTTTTAAAAAAAAATTTTTAAATTTATATGCTCTCATTTTATATGAGCTCAGAGTGATAGGCTGATACGTTTTGCTTTCATTTAGTCACAATAGTTTCCCTCCCTGTATGTGTGTCTGCATATGTAAACCCTCTTCTCAGATACATGAAGCAGAGCCCAGTGAAGTGAAGATAACCTTAATTACTTTAGGTTATGTTACTGTGAAGGTAATAAAACAACGGAGAGAGTAAGAAAAAAGTATTCCTGTTTCCTGGATCCATCCATCCCACAAAGCATCAGCTCAGGGGAAACCCTGCACTTAATTGTGCACAGTTCACTTGTTCAGGCTCGGCCTTGGCCACTGGAGCGCCTTGAGGCGACTGTTGTTGTGATTTGGCGCTATATAAATTGAATTGAATTGAGTTGGAGCTTATTGTACCAATGCTTTGGTGGAATTGCAAGCATTATCTTGCAATTCCACCAAAATGTGGTGTGGCTCATTTCTGAAGTGACACAGAAACTGCTCTCACACCGGTCAGAGTAGTCCTGGGTGTATTTTCAGCAGAAGCCTCGTCAGTTTGCACAGAGAGGACGAGGAGTCAGCAGGTCAGAGGAAGGATAGAGAGTCTGGTCGATTAACAAAATAGAGGAACCTGTGCATGTATTCCTGGAATTACTACAATCAAGGACACGGGTATTGAGTAACACTTACCAGTTCTTCTGCTTTACTGAAATAAAAGGAAAAAATTGAATTCTTGGGGAAAATGAGAAGTAATTAAAATGAAATTGCATACTTGAAGTGAAAATATACAGAAAACCACGTCATATTACTTCTTAAATCAAGTCCCCAACCTCTCCGTAGTGTCTAGAGCACTGATGACCTTATACAGGAAAATAATAGTGGGGATAGTGTGGGTTGTCCTCTATTAATGGATAAAGTTTTATTTGTCACTAAAATACTTTAATATATTTAAAATTACTCACTTTGGGGATTCTGATTCATGTTGATTTATTATACTGTGATTTAAATGTAGCATTGTGACACTTGTATTTTTCCTTTATTTGCTGTTCCCTTCTGAGTTATTCCAGCAAACTAATAATGAGATAACAAATGAGAATAAATTAAACAAGCAAATATACTCAGGTGTGTCTATTGGCTCTAAAGCACGAGCAAAGATCGAGCTTTGCACCACATAGTCCAGATTCCAGAATTACCGGTTTAATCCACAGATGCTGCAATATTACTTAGATAGTGCTAATAAAGTGGCAGCAGTGTGTATAAAGTTATGGCAATGGTTCAGTTCAAGATTACTGAAAAAAGACTTAACGCCTGAAGAGTTCACCTCAGGTCAAACTGTTAAGGTGCCGTAACGTGTAAACCTCTTTCCGACCGGTTTCTCTGCATTCCAGCGGCATCACTGTCAATTAGGTTTTTAACCAGTTAGACACACTCATCACTAAAGCATTTCAGTTGTTCAGCTGTCAGACGTGCTAGGATGAAAATCCAATCAACTGCAATGCAAAGTGTGAGAATTCTCAGGAATATCACTGTAGGGTTTTTGGATATTGGGTTGAAACAACCCAATATCCAAAAATTCACTGTGTTAAAAAGATCACTGTGAGATCTTTGTAACCCTCTGATAACTGTTTCAATCCCTAATTTGCATCAACCCCGCAGTTAAAAATTTAGCAAAGAGCTCAGAGCTGTGCACATTCATCTTGAGATGCAAGCTG